CAGGAACCTACCATCATTGGCATACAGTGGTTTTGTTTTTAAATGACAGCTATGTCCAGGAAGAACAGAACACTGCACAAGAGGGAAATCAGTCCCGGTGTTATCTGCCAGTATGAATCCCTGTGAGCGAATAAAACTCCAAATATTACCCCACAAACTATGCCAGATTCTTAATGGTCACTTTCGGTAAAGTATTGCCAGATCAAAGATTTGTATCCTTCTTCCAAATGCATTCATATTTTGTATTCGTTCCAGCTAGATGTTCGAATCCAAACTCGGAATTCCTTATCACGACCCATTTTTTCTGGCCTGAACGGGCTGTCCCCCAGAATGACCTCAGATAACTTCTTGCCACAGCCAAAAGCAGTGTACTCTTGGCTGGAAGTGAACAATGAGGCCATTCAGGCCAAGAGATGTATAAGGTTTCTACATCTCCATTTAGAGCAAATCTCTCACGCCAGCTGTATCCACCCATGCCGTCTCTCGGCTCACGCAACCTGACAATGGAACTCACTCGCACGCTACTTGCCAGACATGGTAACAGCCGCTACACACGCTTACATAAATTAGGCCAAACAGGCCCACCTGCATGCTGTAGAAGTAGCCTCCAAAATCCGATGTGTCATGCTGACTCTTCATTTTCACAATTAGTTTTATTTTTTTTATTTATTAGATTTTTTTAGTCACCACCACTCACCCAAAGGGTCTCGTGGTGACTTACAACATTAAAACCAATAAGGTAAAAACAACATAAAGATAAATAACAAATATTAAATATTAACATTAAAATATTACAACGTGGGGCTATCACCATACCACTACTAAAACAGGCCAAACATGCGGCTACCCTCCAAGGTAAAGGTAAAGGTCTCCCTTGCTCGAAAGCCAGTCAAATCCGACTCTAGGGATGCGGTGCTCATCTCTGTTTCCGAGCGGAAGAGCCAGCGCTGTCCAAAGACGTTTCCGTAGTCATGTGGCCGGCATGACTAGATGCCGAGGCGCATGGAACGCTGTTACCCTCCCACCAAAGCGGTACCTATTTATCTACTTGCAATTTCTTGCTTTCGAACTGCTAGGTTGGAAGGAGCTGGGACCAGAGATGGGAGCTCACTCCGTCATGTGGCACTCGGGTCTCAAACTGCTGAACTACCAACCTTCCGGTCTGCAGTTCAGTGTCTTAACCACTTGAGCCATCCTAAATAATTCAACTTTGCATGCCCTGCAGAAACTGAACAAGTCCAGAAGGGCATGGATGTAATCTGAGAGTGCATCCCACAGGGCAGGGGCCACAACTGAGAAGGCCCTTCCCCTGGTGACAGCTAACGGAGCCATCCTGGGGCCAGGCACCTGGCAAGAAGCCCTTAGAAGAGGACCAAAGGGAGCACCGGTGGGGGGGGAAATGGGAGAGGAGGTCCCATAGATATGAGTGTCCCAGACCACTGAGGGCTTTGAAGGTTAACACCAACACCACGAATTGGATCCGGAGACTAATAGGTTACCAGTGCAGCTGCCGCAGAATTGGAGTAGTATGAGCTCAGCTGATCATGGTGTTCCAGTCAGTAACCTGGCAGCTGCATTCTGGACCACCATTCAATGGGTGGATGTTCAGACAAACCTTATGAGGGTTGAGGAGGAGATTGGATTTATACCCCGCCCTTCATTCAGAGTCTCAGAGCGGCTTACAAACGCCTTTCCCTTCCCCTCCCCACAAGAGACACCCTGTGAGGTAGGTGGGGCTGAGAGAGCCCTTTCAAGAACTGCCCTTTCAAGGACAGCTCTTATCAGAACTATGGCTTGCCCAAGGTCATCCAGCAGCTGCAAGTGTAGGAGTGGGGAATCAAACCCGGTTCTCCCAGATTAGAGTCTGCACACTTAACCGCTACACCAAACTGGCATAGAAACCTCTCCCACTATCAAACAAGGAAGGGCTGGAAGGGCTCCCACAGTCTTTCAGTGCTTCTTCCTGAAGCGTCTGGCCTGCTGTTGTCCACTCAGCACTCCTAGATTTTAAAGGGCTCCTGTTGTAATTCTCGGTTACTATGTGAATTAGAGAGTCAATCTTTTTGAGTGCACGGGCTGTAGCTGTTCAGAACTACTTTCCACTGTTTTAGCAATCAGGAAGGAAAGATCTCGTAGAGTGTTACCAACAAACGTAGCATTGTTTGCATCTTCCTCTAGTAAGGGGGATGAGTCTTCACACTGAACTACAAGCAGAGTATCACTCTGGGAGACCACAGAGATGGTTGGTAAAACTGCAAAATGGTTTGAGGTAGAAACATTATATGAGGGAGTGCTAGCAGGAGCAAAAGAAATCTTCAATCTTACTTTGTTTAAGAGCAGGAAGGGAGACCCACCTGACCCACACAAAGGTGCTTTCGAGCCCCCATCACTTTCCACATGATATTTCCAACACAAATATCCCTCCGGAAAACAAATAAATTCAGCTCTGTTAATGAAGAAGGAATGTAAACAGCTTATTCAAAAGTCCAGAAATAAGGATTATTTAAGATCCCATCGTTACCCTGATGAAGTGTTTGGCCTTGAAATCTGTGACAAGCACTTGGTAATCACTTAATGATTAAGACCAAAGAGGCAGTCCGAAGACAGAACTCAAGCTGGCAACACACCAGGTAAGGAGCAGAGAATAAATTTATAAGAATGGTCTGGATGCAGCTGGATATAGATGGCAACAATGTCAATCTCCCTTCGTAGTTGTTTTCAGATGGCCTTGCCAGAGAACTTGTCAGTATTTCCAAGCTGCGGTGGCTCAAGTGGTTAAGATGCTGAACTGCAGGCTGTGGAAGGTCAGTAGTTCAGCGGTTCAAGACCCGGGTGCCGCAAGACAGGGTGAGCTCCCGTCTCTAGTTCCAGCTCCTGCCAACCTAGCAGTTCGAAAGCAAGAAAATGCAAGTAGATAAATAGGGACCACTTCGGTGGGAAGGTAACAGCGTTCCGTGTGCCTCGGTGTTTAGTCATGCCGGCCACATGACCACGGAAACGTCTTCGGACAGCACTGGCTCTTCGGCTTTGAAACGGAGATGAGCACCGCAACCCTAGAGTCGGATTCGACTGGCTTTCGAGCAAGGGAACCTTTACCTTTACTTAGACTGCAAATCCCACACATTCGGCTTCTTAGTACAGCAAACAAAAGATAAAATAGGGTGTTCGCAGTTACTTCCTAAACAAGAATATTTATCCATAGTATCTCCAGTTTGGTGTAGTGGTTAGGAGCGCGGACACTAAACCGGGAGAACCGGGTTTGATTCCCCACTCCTCCACATGCAGCTGCTGGTGTGACCTTGGGTCAGTCATAAGTTCGTTCAGAGCTGGTCTCTCAAGGGTAGTTCTTGAGAGAGCTCCCTCAGCTCCACCTACCTCACAGGGTGTCTGTTGTGGGGAGGGGAAGGGAAAGGGATTGTAAGATGCTCTGAGACTCCTTTGGGTAGTGAAGGGCGGGGTATAAATCCAATCTCTTATTCATCATCTCCACAGTGTAACTAGCAGTGTTGTAACATGGAGCTTGGTGAATAAGCGTCCATCATCGTCCGCCATCTTAAGTCACTGCTTGTCTACAGCCATTGCTTCTCTTGAGTATGCCTGTATGAAAGCAGCATGCCTTTCAAAGTTCTCCTGGAAGTTCAGAGCGATTCCTGTCTGTGTGTGTTCAGTGCCGTCAAGTCGCTTCTGATTTATGGCCCCACCCTATGAATTAATTACTTCCAAAACATCCTATCATTAACAGCCTTGCTTGGGTCTTTTAATTTAAAAAAATATGTTTTATAAACACAAAAAAGGAAATGACAACATATTCCATAACAATACCATACACAACAATTATACACAAAACATGGACCCTAACCCATAAACATAAGCATAAACAACTACTTCATCTACCATATCTAAATCATACATAACTTCAGTACTACATAAACTACATGCTGCGATTGTCTAGCTTATTCAGAACCTGCCTGCTTACATAAAACTTATTCATATGTGTTCTTAATTTTACACTTCTATTTAACTTTATTTAACTTTATGCTATCTTTCCCTCATTACTTCATATCTAAGAGTTTATTTTAACAAGGGTGTGTTGGCTGACTACCCCTTGATCATTCTCTGCTTTAGTGATTTAGTCCTAATTATCAGCTACATATTTGAAAAATGTATTCCATTTTCTTGGAATTCTGCAATCGGTCTATTATGTATATAAGATGTTAATTTTGTCATTGTCACATATGTGTTTAAGTTGCTCTTCCATTCCATCAGTTATGGACATTTCTCCGCCTTCCATTTTGTCGCAAATGTTACCCTTGCCGCTGTTAACATATATATAAATAGTGCACTATGTATTCTTGTGATATTACTTGGTAAAATATTTAACAACATACTTTTAGGGTCCATTGCAAACTTAAGTTTTAATATCCTTTGCATTTCTTCATGGATTGGATGCTCGGATCTTGTAGACCAAAGGCCCGCCTTCCTTTATAATAGAGCCAACCCATCTTATGGTGGGGGTCTTCCTCTTTTCCTGCTGCCTTCCACTTTTCCTAGCATTATTGTCTTTTCCAGGGACTCCTCCCTTCTCATAATGTGTCTGAGCAAAGTACGACAGCCTTGGTTTAGTCATTTTAGCTTCTAGGAAGTGTTCAGGATTGGTTTGGTTTAGAACCCACTGATTCATCTTTTGGGGTGGGGTCCACTGTATCCATAAAACTCTCCCCCAACACAACGTTTCAAAGTTGAAATTTCAAACTCCCATTTACTCATTACTTATGAAGAACTGGTTTTGCCATACCTGGTTCCTGAGTGACATCCACCTTGCCCACAGAGATTTCAAGGTCTCTGCCATCTCTTGCAAATGCCTCCCATGTCGATTCCATCTGTTGGCAGGCGGGACACCAAGGGGCATAGCTAAGAAAAAGGACAACATGGAGAAAGTGTCACATACTTTTCCACCTAGCACATCAACAACCCATCAAGAGCTTGCGATCTACTGAACAATTTTCAACCATTTCTACCGATTTTCAGCTATTTCTGTCATAATCTGGCCTCTCTTCTCTTCCCTCCACCAGGATTTTTAGTACTGGAGAAGGTCTGCAAACTCCCCATCCTTTAAGTACCACAAAGAAATATTTTATTTCCTAGGGACCGGGAAATCTGAACCTGGCTTCTCTTCCAGCCCCCAGAGGTGACAAAATTAATTCCAGGAAAGGTTGTTAAGTGCCACATCTTTACATATAAACTGAGACAGACAATCTGCTGCTTTGCCTGATGCATTTATGGAACACGAAACCAAAAACTGGGCATTAGCTAGCATATTATTCTGTTCTGCCATGAGCACTCCAGATTTAAACAGCATATTTAGCTTCGCTGCCACCTTCCATTTATAAACCGTTTATTCCTTCGTCATCCAAAGGTCCAGATGCCTCTCTGGCTGGTTTCCTGCTCTGTATATATTTAACGAAATGCTTATTGTTATTAGGGACTGGATGAGAGGAAACTCACTCAAGGTAAAGCTGAGCCATATTATTATTATTATTATTATTACTACTATTATCAATAATAATAATAATATTGTTGTTATTGTTGGTATATTGATGGCAGGCCTGGCAATTCAAAGGAAGACTATCCCGTCAGTTATTGATAGCCCAAAGCAATATGCTCTCTGGAGAGCTCCTGCAACCAGCGCTGACCCTAGATGCTCAAGGTGCCAGTCCATGGCAAACATGTCTTCTATTAACCTAGACAAGAAAGTCATCTACACCCCTACCTGAAGATCGGGAAAGGCCACTCCCATCCCTCCACAAGGAACACCTTGCACTGACTACTATAAATTGTTCTGTTTGGGGCTACCCCTGAAAGTGGACCAGAGGCTGCAGCCAGTACAAAATGTAGCCGCTTGCTAATTAAGGTCTGGATGCACCCAAGGTGTTGGGGTCATGCTGAATTTGTAGCACCTTGGGTGACTCACCGTATCGGCAAGAATCTTTTCTCCCACACAAACCTCTCGCTCTTTAATCAGCCAATGGAGCAGTTTTACCCCCCCGTTCCTTCACTGCTTAAGGTAAACTCTGGAGAAGCAGAGGGCCACACAGTCTAGAAATCTGCTTTTTCAGCAAGGCCCAGTACCACATTCTAGCTTAAGAACACCAAGGTTTTAAATATATATATATTTTATGCCTTTTTAAAGCACTTTAATTGTTCTCTAAGTGAAGAAACACCACTACGTTGAAAGGAGAGAAAGAGAAATCCGCAGAGATTGGGACCTGCGTCCATGTCCCATGTGCGTTCAGTCTCATTAACAGCATCCCCTTTCCCATCCCATGGTTATGCAATACTAAACCCATTCAAACCCTGCTCACATTCTACCTTGGTTACAGCTTTTCTTTTCTTAGGGGCTATGCTGTGAAGTAGCCAGATTGAATCTTAGATACTAACATAGTCAGCAATCCGCTGCACCCCTTTGCTGTATGCACAGTTTATGAAACACTTTTGTACTTTGCCACTAACAGGTTAACTTAGTAGGTACGCCTAGCATTTCCATGATATGCTGAGTGCCATTTATGATCTAATCATACAAACAAAAATCAACCATGAACACGTATTCAGATATTAACTTTGGTTCAGTTATGGCTATTGCTTAAAAGCATGCTGGGAGAATTGAATAAAATGCTAACTTGCTATTCTGCTAAAGCTTGTGGCCAGCCACCTGCAACTGCGCATGTGTCGGTTAGCGAGAACAATAACACCCTGTAACTATATCAGCTAATACTGATACTTTTAGAGCTTCATGGCCTAAGAAGAAGAAGCATCTATTGTTTAGCTAAAGGGTAAACAGTAGAATGAACTGTACTTGGGAAAGCACAGCCCAAAAGGTTTTCCACCAATCAGAGACCTGTAAGGTCAGAGTGCTGATGTCTGACGGAACCAATAATAATGTTTTGCTTGCTTATGACACACTGGGTGCGTTCAGATGCAGCATGTACAACGGAATCTGTGCCGGTTGCAATCGTTGTACTTACCGGCGTTCAGACGGCGAACATCTGTCTTCCCTCCCTAACCGCTGTAAAGGCCCTTAAACCGTTGCACTCTGCCACTAGGTCCCCAAGTCGCTGTCCTCTGAAGTTTGCTCAATTTTATGTTCGTTGCATCTATGACAGTGTCTAACCATCTCATCCTTTGCCGTCCCCGTCTTCTTTGACCTTCAATTGTGCCTAACACCCTCCAAACTGTGCAAAAGGGAGTACATATTTGCTAGTGGTCAGAGAGCAATTTATTATTTAACAAGTGCTGAAACAAAATATACGAAGTCCTTAGTTTTGCAGTTTGAGCGTGACTGTGGTATGCACCCTCCCTTCCTTGCACCAACATTCACCATTTTGTAACACCCTCACTTTAAATGATGTGTTCCCTACCTGCAGAGTTTACCTTCAGACTCCAAGACCCAACTGATAAGTCAAGTTATCCACCCCTGCGATAAGACTACAGCCCGTTCATTATACACAATGACAGGTCTTTTGTGCTCCTGACACTGGATCGAGGCCAATGTCAATTGTACATGGACACGCACACAGTATTCTTTAAAGATCAGTCCATTATTTTATGTTGTGGTTAAACTCAAATAAGAAAAAAAACCTACACCTTGCTGCTTTGAGCATGCTCCTAAACACTTTTCTTTCTGTACAGGGAAAACTACAAGTTTACCCAAGGATTTATTACTTAATACCTGCCTCTGTGTCAGACAGTCATTCTAGTAATTAGCTAAGAAGAATCTTAACAAACCTTTTGCAGCAAACTTTGCTGTAAACTCAGAACTCCAGATTATGACCACTCAACTTGTAACGTTCTCTGTACATTTAAGTGAAGCCTGTTTTGGTAAACCATTCCTGATCCAGGAAAACAAGTACTAGATACACTGCATGTGTTCCGCACTCATGGACTACCATTTATCTATTTATTCAAAACATTTATTAGTGGCCTTTCTTCTTTACGGCGATCAAGGCAACTTACACTATAGACAAAAACATAAGAAACCAAAATGCTTAAATCACGATAGGACTGCTAGTAACTTCATAAAATGTAATCCTAAATAAAATTGTCTTGAAGCACTCCCTCTAGTGCATGTAATGAAGATATCAGAAAAATTGATGCCTTTTGGGTATACAGTGTCCATACCATCCGCCCTTCAGTTGTTCACAGAGACTGTTGCTGTTCAGTGGGGGCCAATGGTTTCAAATCAAATTTCAACCAGAAAGCCAGGGAACTGTGCAAATGTTCCCTCCAAATTAGCTGTTTTCCCTCAGATCCAGAGATGTGGGCTGGTGCTTCAGCTGTTGAAGAATGGTGGCTTTCAGGTCAACAGCGAAGTTATCTGAGAGACCACTGTCACGTCTGAACAAGTGTGCTGTTCTGAAGGCTGGAATCTTCATTCAGTCTGTATATTTTTTATGGTGTAGCGTGGTTAGGAGCACAGACTCTAATCTGGGAGAACTGAGTTTGATTCCCCACTCCTCCACATGCAGCTGCCGGTGTGACCTTGGGTCAGTTACGAGTTCTCTTAGAGCTGTTCTCTCGAGAGCAGTCCTCAAAAGAACTCTCTCAGCCCCACCTACCTCACAGGGTGTCTGTTGTGGGGAGGGGAAAGGAAAGGAGACTGTAAGCCACTCTGAGACTCCAAGTGAAGGGCAGGGTATAAATCCAATCTCTTCTTCTTCTTCTTCCTGCTCTTCCTCCAAGGAGCTCAAGGCTTCATCAATCGTTTTAATCTCATTCCAAATTATCCTCCCAACAACGCTGCGGAGTAGGTGAGGCCAAGACCAAGTCCGCTCGACTAAAGTCACCCAAGGAAGCTTCCACAGTAGAGCGGGGACGCGTTCCTGGGTCTTTCAGATCCCCAGGACAAGGCTCTAACCACAACGCCACACCGGCTCTCAAAGCAAAAGTGAAATGTCGCTAGTCCCGAAGCCGCTATCAGACACCTACCTAATCCAGATGCACGGACCTCCACCGCATCTAAAGAAGCGGAAGTCTCGTTAAGTCCACCCAGGTTGAACACTCACACTGAAAGTGTTTAACGCGCCACTGGGTTTTTGCTTTATTGCACCTGAAACCGAGCTACCCGGTTACACCTTTGGCAATCGCCCGAAATGATGCACAAATAAACGCTAAGTTTTGAAAAACCGCTTAATAGATTCTGCCGCAACAAACCAAGGACGGCCAGCCTTGCTTCTGCAAGCATCCTGCATTGGCTACTGTCTGCATGCACGGCCACCTTCCAATGCTCCCTCTAAGCTGTGGAGTCTTGTGAGCAGAAATCCTACTTTGTGAGCTGCTGGCATTAAAGCTGTGAGCGAGCGATTTGGCAGCTGCATAAATCAGTTTGCTCTGGAGCCCTCCTTCCTGAGCTAAGACAAAAATGTGTGAGCCAGAGGCTAAAAAACTGTGAGCTGACTCACACTAACTCAGCTTAGAGGGAACACTGCTTCCGACCCATTCACCCTCCCGGAACCTCCCCCGTCCTCTGCAGCCCTCACTCACAATGTCACCATCCACTGGCCCTGCAGCAGGAGGCTCCAGTTGGAACCGCTCAACGCCCTCACCCGGCTCTCCCCGGCGACCTCCTCGGGCTCCAGCACGGCCGAGACCGTGCCCAGCAACACCGACGCAGCGGCGGCCCCACAGAATAGCAGCAGCCAAGCGGCGGCCCCCCTCCTAAGGTCCGAATTCCCGGCCGCCAGGCTTGCAAGAGGAGCCG